GGTATATAAAAGTATAGATCATGTACAATAAATATCAATGAAATATACGTGTTAAAACCAAATCAAATCTATAGATCGATTTTCTTTCTTTTAAGTTGCAGATATCAATTTATTTCTAAAGGCTTTACACCTACTCTTCTATCTCTCAGTTCCCTTTTGAGTACATATAATATTTTAGAATCGAAAATAAAACTCGGATTCCGGGATAATTTCGCATTCAAATTAGAGAATGAATTAAGAATATTTTTTAAAAATATAATCATAACAGACATTACAGATTTACACTACGCTGACAACTTTAAACTATGCATATACTGAAAGCAGTAACCAACGTAATCTTTCATGCAGAAGTGGATATGGAAACTCAAAGTCTATTTTTTTTATGTGAAAAGTGTGGATATAGACGTCTGCGACGTCATGGATACTACCTCCGCCTTTATCTCGAAAGTTCTATTCCCACTTACAAGTCAGAGTTATCTATCTTTGCTCATTGTCACTATATACGTAAATAGAGAAAATGAATTTATTGACGGAACCTTAAATCTCCAAAATGCAGAATCCGATTGAATAAATAATATGTTTAGTATTTTTGTAGAATAATTGTTTATACATCGCTGTAATGTATACTGCGTACAATATTATTTTCTTCAAAGTGCTTAGTTGACACAGAACGGTAATTTTTTTTTTAGATATAAATTTGTATGTATATCAAAAACTTTCAATATACAGACTAACACTACCCAGCCAAATTTAAACTAATATGCATACAGTGAATTAAGTAACATGCAAAAGAGAGAATATTGAATGTGTAAATATGTTGATCTGGAGAGCGTATATATTTCTCTAACGTTATCAATACTATTTCCGCCTTTATCTCGAAAGTTCTATTCTCATTCACAGGTTAGAGTTATCTTTCTTTGCCCACCTTATACATACAACGTAAATAGAGAAAATTTCGGTACCGAAAATATACAAAATGCGGAATCTGATTTAAAAACAAATTATATATTTAGTATTTGTAGAAAAATGTCTGTTTTACATAAGAATATCTTGAAAAAATATTTAAAAACAAAAAAATCAAAAATTGACCAAAAACAAATTCACTTCCGGTTCGGACAGGAAGTACTGGAAACACACGAAAACAACTTCAAAACAAATAGAATATCATGATCTAATACTCCTGTAAATTTCATATCTTTACCTCAAACCGTTTCCGAGAAAACTGCCGGACAAAAGTCCATTTTAAAATTCGAAAATCGGCCATAACTTCGGACCGGAAATGAATTTTTCAAAAAACGGAATTTTATATAAACTTCATAGAAACTCTTGTTGCTAAAGCAACAAAGAAGGTCTTCCGTTCTCCTCTATTGATCTGCATGAATGAACTTTTATATATGTTAAAAGAGGCATATGATTTGTTTAATTGATTTCGGGAAAACGAACGACAGGAGGTGTAACTTACCAAGATTACTGATGTTACTTTAAACTATTAAAGTCTCAATAACGTTTACAAAAATCAGTTTTATTTTTTTAAATGTTTGACTAAGAAGATTCTATAAAGAAATGTTTCAATATTAGATTTATTCCATCACTTCGTGTGACAACCGGAAGTGACGGCGGAAAATGTTAACCAAAATGGATTTGCCTACTCATCAAGATCTACCAATCCTAATTTTACAGGTTTTGTTTGTTAATCTCTTTCCGTTTACGAGATCTAGCCATGATAGCTTCTCATGTTGAGGACAGAAATTCACGCGATTAGAAGTCAATTTTGCAAAGATAACTGAAAGTACACAATCAAGGATGCTTGCATATAAATATGATTAATTCTTGTTTTGCTGTGCTTGAGAAGGTATTGCACATGTGAAACCTTTATCTTCCATTTTGGCCTGCCTTCTCTCAGGGGTAAAGCTTGCAAGAAATTTTTATCTATACTACCAGAGAATATCAAAGTCATCTTTGATGACACATAGGTTCTTTAGAAGAATTTTAAAATATGTATGTCATTCATTTTTCAAGAAATTGTTGCAATATCAAGAAGATGAAACTTAAACGTTTACATTTACAGCAACAGACAATCGATAAAAGCTCACTTGAGCTTTCTGCTCTGGTAAACTAAAAATGTAGTTATGGGAAAAGTGATGCCCAAAATCTAAAATGAAATGTAACTAAAAATAAATGCACAATTTATATGAAATATTAAGAGTAAAATGTATGTAAACTTGTTCGCCTGTTTGTACTTGAATTGTGCATTTTCTAAAGTTTCAGTCAGAACATCAAATGAGAAGAGATATACAAATTTTGCATTGTTTTATTTCAGAAATGTCATTTCAATTTGACATTGAGCTATTCCAGGTAAAAAATGTAATATGGAAAGTTTAAAAGGCACTTTTAATTTTACCTAACCACTTGTATTGTTAATTATTTTTCCCCCCAATCAGCATTACATTGAATTGGAAATTCTTTTGATATAGCACCATTCATCTAAATTCAAAATAAAAAAATTGCGTTTTTTCTGCTACAGGTTGAATAGATAGCGCTCGTCAAAGTTAATGATACTCACTACAAAAATTATACGATGTGATGTGTTTGAGATGGAACATTGTATGCTGTCTGTAAATTTCAAATGAAAGTAATTTGTATACTTTACTACCTAAAAAAATGTATTAAGTGCCTATTAGCCCCCTCCCCCACAACCAACTACATTTTTTCTGGAATAGCTGGAACAATAATTGTGTAAAAACAACAAAATAAGAACTGATAACATTCGTTCAAAAATCCTGTGAAAGGATTTTACCAAAAATGTTCACAATATAATAAAAAAAAAAAGTTTCATAATGTGGTCAGGATATAGGCAAGTAATGATTTTTTCACACACATTAATAATGTTGCAAAAATAGGTTGCATTTGTGAAATAATAAGAATAAAATGTTAAACAGTATCGACGAGCACATTATACAATGTGGTTACCAGTATATTTTGGAACATCTTATCTCAAAGATGGATGCATGTGTGTTGTATTTGACACAGTTTAAAAGAAATACAACTCCATAGGACATAAATGTTGCATACAGGTTTCATTAAGGCTAAAAAAAAATTAATAGTTTCTCAGGCCCAAAAACTAAATGCATCAGGTAGGTTTATTTTTAAAGTTATAATATGTATTCAACTTGAAATTATGTTATTCCAAATATTTCTTTGAATATTTATTCATAAAATATTGTGAATTTTGAAGATATATATCGTTTTCTAATAAATTATCTATCATTTAAGATAGAATTAATGAGGTGGGGAATAACTTAATGTTTTTTTAAAACCTGGAAAACTATAAATTAAAAAAAGAAAAAGGTCATTGCGGTTGTTTTTGAACTGATATGGTGGTAGCCTTAGAAGCTATTGATTAATTTTTGTTGCACTAATAATGAGTAAATAAAGTGTTTTTGCTTGTAAAACTGAACTTGTGACAAATTTTAGAAAAGCATGTTTATGACCTAGAGAAGTCAATTGGTCAAACAATATCTGTGCACTTGAAATATTTTACCCCTACACATTGGGAAATAGGGTTTTAAAATAATAGATCAATTTCTTGTGTTAAATTGTTTCGAATGCATAGACCAAACAATATGACCTCTAATCATATTTATAAAAAGTGAGGTATAAAAAAAAATGCTTTCAAATTTGCCATAAAAACTTGAAAAGTTGAAACCTGTTTACCAAGGTTACTTGATAATAAAAATCAATAAAAACATGTGCACTTCTGCAAGAAAAAGGTCAGCAATAAAGAAGTGGTGCGACCATGAGTGACATTGCTCACCTGTTAGTAATACATGTCACGGCCAAGAAGAAAGCAAAATGAAATCCAGTGTGGCTAAAACGTCGAAACATACAACTTAAGGGGGTGGGGGTTATATGAATTAACTTGAATCTACACTAAATGACAATGGTTTAATATAGATGTTAATGTGTTGATGTGGTATGGGTTTTCTAAATAAAAGTTTGAAGCCTAGGAATTAAAATTTAAAAACATGTTGACAGAATTATGTGTGGATGTTCTCATAAAAAGATCACTAATCATGATTATGTTGTTGAGAAAACTTATAAAAAAAATCCTTTGTTATATGTAAAGCCTTGACCCAGCATTGTTTCCCCACTCTCCATCATTTGGTAATGATGTAAACAAATTTGAATCTACAATAATTGGGCCAAAATAAAATTATACTTTGTTTGGTATTGAATATCTCAATAGATTTAACATTGAACTTGAGAGGCTAAGTCCGTGATGTTGAAATAAAAAAGATTGTTCAGATCCCAGTTAGAAAATTGCAAGGATAAGAAATGAAAAATATCTGACAGTATGACAACTCACAAGCTAGTCTTTGAAATGTAATGTTAAACAAGAGCAATGCTATGAAATACACTGATAGAATTGTTTAAAAAATGATTTTTAAATAAAATAGAAGTTTGACGTTTAAGGTGAATTCTAACAAATGTTCAGATCTAACATCTGAATTAGATTGATATATGAGTACCATTCTGTGTAGTGCTATATATAATTTTTCAAAACAAAACAAAACATATCAATAAATAAAAGAAAGAAAATTATTGAAAATCTTTACTGTTCACCAAGATTTTTTAATCATTTAGCTTCAATTAAAAAAAAAAAAAACCTCCCTCCCTCATGGGTCTGAACCCCCCAAGGTGGCAATTCTAAACAAACATTTCTTTAAGGATGGCGTTGAGTATGTTTTGATATGTATATTTGCAATGGCATGTTTTTGAAGCTGTTTCAGAAGGAAATATTTGTTTAATATATATTCGTTTATTAAATTTGATTGTCCACTGTTTATTTACCTTAACCCTTGGGGTCATGATTTATACAAATTTAATAACACAACTTTTTATTTTTTGTAAATATGAGCAATTTTGCTTTGTTATTCTTGAGAGATTTTCAATTTTTTCCTATAAATATTTGTACTAAAAATATGATTTTCATTTGAAAAGCACCCTTTCATGAGGGGACATTTAATGATTTGAACTAATTAAATGACTACATGAGGATGCATACATATAAGATGTCAAAGATCATGGATTTGTTGTCTTTAAGAAGATTTTTTAAAGTTTTTTCTTATATATTCGTATGTTAAACTTTGATCATATCTGGTGGCCTCAGGCTATGTCTGGGGGTCATAATTTAAAAATCAAATTTTGTAATGTGCAATACTTGAAGATGTTTCCAGATTAGTTTTATATTTTCCCAACTCTGTAGTTCTTGATGAGGAGATTTACAAACATGCCACAAAATTTTAATTATGTCTTCATTATTTCCCTTTATAAGAGGTCATGCATGGCCTTTCATATGAAGATAGTAGTTGAGTCTTCTGTGGTCAAGGATGCTTTGTGTTTAGTTTTATTGAAATTGCTCCAGTGGTTCTTGAAAAGAAGTTAAAAATATGAAATGTTTACAGACAGACGGACAGCTAGACAGACGACCAAATTATGATTAGAAAAGCTTATTTGAGCTTTGAATTATAGGTGAAATGAAATGAGCGTTGTTCAAAAGAAGTACTTTTCTTGAAAAGTTTAATCTCTCTTAGGTTTCTTTGCTGGGTTGATCTTCTCTCTGGAAAAATGAAGAATTATGAATGAAAATTAAAGTTGCATGAAAGTACTTTAAAAATATTGTGAAGATCTATTTCTTCAAGAGTTTCATTAAAAATGGATTAATAGTAAAAATGTTTTGATATACTTTATATTGATAGTATTTGCAATGTTGTAATATATAAATTTTTGACCTCATTGATAATCCTGAAGAAATTTTTTTCCAAATAATTATATTTGTTGAAGAGGTACAATCTGTAATACTAGATATATTAAAAGTAAAAAGTTGAAATTTTGCATTATTGATACTGTTTGCAATTATTTTAATGAGAGATTTTGAGATCATGATTATATAATTATTTTAATGAGAGATATTGAGATCATGATTATATATATAGTTATATAAATAACTTTACAGTTCAACAATGGTAAATCCATGAGCGCTTCCTTTGATATGTATGTCTTGTTCGAACCCTCTGGGAAATATTCTTTCCAGTTCCGTTGTTTTTACTTTATAAGTTTTTGTGTCAATGATGAGATAGCTGAAGTCCCTAGATGAAAAAAAAAAAAAGATCTTTGAGTCACTATGGCTAGTTTAAGAATTTTTTTTCCAAATTTCTTTATTTAAGGGTCCTCCACACCAAGTGACCTGTGACGTATATAGAGAAAAAATACTTTTACTTCCGATTTTATTGAGAAAATACATGAACGAACTGTCTGTTACTCAGAAAGACAAATAATCGCAATTTCAACTTTCAAAGATAGTTATGAGAAATTAAAGCTAATGTGCTTTCATAAAGAGCCTACATATACGCATGTTTATTCAAAACCAGAGTTAAACTGATGACAAAATATTAGAAGAAGCAAAATTTGTGGAATGTTTTTAATGAATGTTGGTCATTAAGCTTTGATTTGAAAAAACATTAAGCGGTGATTTGAACAAACTTGAATCTACACCAGCTGAGGATGCTTCTATGTAAATATGATGAATAATGACTATGCTATTCTAGACAAGATTTTAAAAAACTTTTCCTATATATCCTATATGAAACTTTGGTCGGCCATTTTGGGACCTTAATTCCCAATTATCTTCATTTGATCAAACTTGAATTTCCTTCACCCAAGGATACTTTGTGGCAATTTTGGTTGAAATTGGCCTAGTGATTCTTGAAGAAAAGTCGAAAATGTGAAAAGTTTACAGACGGATCGACAGACAGACAGATGGACACTGGACAAAATGTGATCAGAAAACCTCACTTGAGCCTTCGGCTCAGGTGAGCTAAAAATCATAGGATATGTGATGACAAAATGTCAAGTAATCTTTCAGTTGTAGTCAGTGAAGAAGAAGAATAAAATTTAATGATCGACTTACTCTCTAAAATCTACCCCTTCGACTTTTCCTTCGACTATGGTGTTCTCTTCGGATTCCTATGATAGAAAAATTGTTGTAATAATTTTTAATTAAAGCATTAAAGTGGAAAGTTCATGCAACTTAATCCTTTGTTTGAAAAGAGTCACTTGAATGTATTTTTTTTCTTATTGATCTGCAAGTTTTACATTATTTTTTCTATTAGTAAAATAGACAGGAGCATGCATTTTCACTACAGTCAAACCTGATTTAAGAGATGACTTGTTTGAGAACAAGAAATTAGCTACACATGTGGCCACTTTTCAAGGTTTCAAAAGAATGAATAAACCAGAAGTGTCTGTTAAGTCTTTAGCTCAACTGGTATGTTATAAAAATAAAGGAAGAAAAAAATTATTAATTAAGCTCTTTCAAATGACATCAAGAGCAATGACTCGGTGACCTTGACCGATATACTAAAAATATTTTTTTTAACTTTCACCTTTTCTTATGAACCATAAAAGATAGAGACTTTAAATTTGGTATGCATATGCCACTGATTAATTCGTTTCATACAACACTACGGTCAATGACCTTGTGACCTTGACAGTGTCCTATATGCTAAAAATATCTGTTTTGAATCTTCAGCATAACTTTTGAACAATGAGAGATAGAGACTTCATATTTGGTATGCATATTTTACTAATCAAGTTCTTTTGAATGACATCAAGATCTGTGATCTTGTGCCCTTGACTATGGCCCATATGCTAAAAGTGTTTTTTTTTTTTAAATTGAGTTGAAGATGGATGAATAGTGTTTTCCAAACACATCTTGTTCAAGATTGCACTAATTTGAGTGGTTTTGGTTCCATCCTGCAGGAGACAGGGATCATGAAATTAACAATTTTTGTTTTACATGCATGTTTTATGCCAAATTTGGTTGAAATTGGTTTACTGGCTTCAGAAAAGAAGCTCAAAATGTTCAAACATTACTGTACGCTGACGGATGAAAATGGATAGGAATAGGTCACCTGAGTTTACTCAGGTGATGTAACTTTACTCAGGTGACCTAAAAATGTAAATTATATTTATGTTAAGAGAACAAGAATTTCAGTTCATACCTTTATGGAAGTAAGCAGGGTTGAATTTAGTGAAATTATATCTTTAAATGTTGCAACTTCTACGTTGCAGACAGTCACGACTTCATCATTCTGCGGCAGACACTTGTCGGCATGGTCTCCCCACAATTTACAAACTACTCGGGAAGTACCTTCCATCGACTCTATTGTTATCTCCTTCCTCTTACTATTGGGCGATTCTATGATCTGTGATGACTTGAACAAATACTTTGTATATTAGAAATATGTTATACAATTTAATTGTAAAAATATAAAATGTACGTGATCTTTGTACATTATTACTGTACATTATAATCATTATGATCATGTTTTCTAAAAAGAATGTTCACAAGTATCTATAACAAGAGGCCCATGGGCCACATTACTCACCTGAGAAGCTTTGACCATTCTGTTCTTTACCGGATTTCCCCCTTGTTATACATAATGCATCCCCAGCCTACCCCACTGATCATAATTTAGACATTTTGAAATTTATACTACGCAATGATCCTTCCATGGGCACATATGTTTGAGCTTTTTTTGCCCAGTGGTTCCTGAGAAGAAGATTTTAAAAGATTTTTCTTATATATTTCTACGTGAAACTTTTATTCCCTACAATGGCCCCGCTCTTCCCCCAGGGGTCATGATTCCTACAATTTAGAATTTACACTACCCCAGAATGCTTCCACATAAGTTTCACTTTTTCTGGCCCAGTGGTTCTTGAGAAGAAGATTTTCAAAGATTTTTCCTTTGTATTTCAATATAAAAGTTTGATTCCCCATTGTGGCCCCGCCCTTCCCCTGGGGGTCATTATTTTAACAATTTAGAATCAACATTATACCAGGATGCTTCCACATAAGTTTCAGCTTTCCTGGCCCAGCAGTTCTTGAGAAGAAGATTTTTAAAGATTTTTCCAATATATTTCCATCTAAAATTTTGATACCCAATTGTGGCCCTGCCCTTCCCCCGGGGGTCATTATTTTAACAATTAGGAATGTAAACTATACCAGGATGCTTCCACATAAGTTTCAGCTTTTCTGGCCCAGTGGTTCTAGAGAAGAAGATTTTCAAAGATTTTTCCTATATATTTCTCTATAAAACTGATTCCCGATTGTGGCCCGCCTTTCCGATGGGGGTCATGATGTGAATAATTTAGAATCTATAATATACCAGGATGCTTCCACATAAGTTTCAGCTTTTCTGGCCCAGCGTTTCTTGAGAAGATGATTTTTTAATGACCCAACCCTATTTTTGTCTTTCCTTGATTTTCTCCCCTTGCGAGGGGATATGTCCCTTCATTTTAACAATTTAAATTCCCTTTCACCCAAGGATGCTTTGTACCAATTTTGGTCAAAATTGGCCCAGTGGTTCTTGAAGAGAAGTAAATGTGACAAGAGGCCCAGGGACCACAGCGCTCACCTGAGCAGATTGGCTAGGAGAAAGCACATATCAGATCAGAAATGAAAGTTTACTGGGGGGGGGGGGGGGGGGGGGGATTTAATTTTAACCCCCCATGGGTTCATGATTTGAACAAACTTGAATCTACACTACCTGAAAATGATTTCATATTAATATCACCAATCATAGGTTTGAAGTACTTGTAAAGATGATTTTAAAGGTTTCCCTATAAATCCCTATATAAACTTTGGTCGGCCATTTTTACCCAACCCTAGCCCCGGGTGTCATGGTTTGAACAAACTTGAATCTACACTACCTGAGGATGATTCCACATGAGTTTCATTTTTCCTGGCCCAGCGGTTCTTGAGAAGAAGATTTTTAAAGATTTTTCCTATATATTCCTATGTAAAACTTGGGTTGGCCATTTTGGCCCCACCCTATCCCAGGGGTCATGATTTGAACAAACTTGAATTTACACTACCTGAAGATGATTCCACATAAGTCTCATCTTTCCTGGCCTAGTGGTTCTTGAAAAGAAGATTTTTAAATATTTTTCCTATATATTCCTATGTAAAACTTGAGTCGGCCATTTTGGCCCCACCCTAGCCCCGGGGGTCATGATTTGAACAAACTTGAATCTACACTACCTGAGGATGATTCCATGTGAGTTTCATCTTTCCTGGCTCAGTTGTTTTTCAGAAGAAGATTTTTTTAAAATGCAATTAATTTTTCTCTAATTCATAATTATTTCCCCTTGGAAAAGGGTGTGGCCCTTCATTTGAACAAACTTGAATCCCTTTTACCCAAGGATGCTTTGTGGCAAGTTTGGTTGAAATTGGCCCTGCGGTTCTTGAGAAGAAGTCTAAAATGTTAAAAGTTTACAGACAGACGGACAGAAGGACGCCAGACAAAATGTGATCAGTTTTATAGCTCACTTGAGCCTTCGGCTCAGGTGACCTTAAAAGTATACAGACGGACAGACAACGGACAAATGTGATCAGAAAAGTTCACTTGAGCCTTATATAAAAGAAAGAAATAAATTTATGCTTACTTTTCGTAAAATACCTCTGACTGAAACCATTCTTTTTTGTGGTGATTGGAGAATTTCCTCGACTGTTTCTTGTGGTGGGTTGAGGTATGTGTCAATGACAGATTGGTTCATTTCGAATGGAGATGTTTCAAAAACCTTAAAACATGTCAATTGTGTTCAGATTTCAGCAATATTTAGTAGAGCAGGTGTTTTGTTAAGGTACTCAGATATTTCGATCTACTTGTCTAAATCAATTATGATACAACAAGAACTGTCCAAACTGGACAAAATACCCCCCGCTGGATTTTTCAGAAGTAATATTTTCCATAATAGATATGTATCAAACACAAATTATGAAATTTTTTTAACAGTGATCTTGAACTTCCCCAAATGACCTAGGGTCAAGGTCATGACACACAATTTTGTCATGGGCAATCTTTGTGTGAAATGAGAACCTACCATGTTTATCCATAAGAAAAATATGGATCAGACACGAATTATGAAATTTTTCTTCCAGTGACCTTGAACTTCCCCAAATGATCTTGGGTCAAGGTCATGACACAAAATAGGGTTTCATGGGCAATCTTTGTGTGAAATGAGAATTTACCAAGTTTATCCATAAGAAAGATATGTACCAGACACGAATTATGAAATTTTTCTTCCAGTGACCTTGAACTTGCCCAAATGACCTTGGGTCAAGGTCATGACACACCCTTGGGTCATGAGCAATCTTAGTGTGGAGTAGTAGATTGTAATGTCCCTCTAAGAAAAATATGGACCGGACACCATTGCACAGACAGACGGACAAGGTGATTCCTATAACCCCCCAAACTTTGTTTGTGGGGGTTATAATAAAATGTCTTGTAGTGACACAAATAAAGAAGATTAGGGTTGTTATCTAGAAGTATTTAAAGGGGGTGACTATAGTTTTATTGTGTGAAAACTACAATAGTGAAACTCTTGCTTTTTATATAATATATAGCTTGCATTAACTTTAGTGTACTTGCAAAATTTGGGCATTTCAAAGCATTAATTTGTTTTCAGACCATGTAACTCCCACCCACCAATCCTTGACCCAGGAGGGGAGGGGGGGGGGATAAAAAATAATCATTTTGCTAGATGCACCTTCCTTCATCATTAATATATATACTTGGATCATTAGCATAAACCCAAAAGCAAAGGAAAATATTTTCTAAGAATTAATGTTTTTTTTACTGAATAATCAAAAGAGCCTTAACACCTGAACCCCTGATTCTGGGGCAATAAAAGTCACAATTTTTGAAAAGGAACTTTTGCTTATCAGAACAATGTGCTTAATTAGTTTATTTAATACTCAGAAGCAGAGAAGATTTTCAAAGAAAAAATGCATTTTCACTATATATAATCTATAGAGCCCCGCGAAACACTAGAACCCCTGATCCTAGCGCTATAAAATTCAGAAATCTGGAAGAGGCACTCTTACTAATCATAACTATGTAATTAGTTTATTTAAAAACCAGAAGCAGAGAGGAAGATTTTCAAGGAAATAATGCATTTTCACTATATAATATATATAGTCCCGCCCTAGCACTAGAACCTGTGACCCTGGGGCCATAAATTTCACAATTTAGGTAGAGGACTCATTGCTTATTACATTCATCACCGTGTATATCCCAACATGCGGGGTGTATACTATGTTGTGCGCGGGGTGTATGCTTCCGAAGCGAGAGAAAGGGGGTCAATGTAAGTTCTTTGTCCATTTTCTCAACTTACGGATATTTTTCGTCAGTAAGCATATGCCTACGGAAGGAAGCATTGTCTAAGGAGTATATGGATACCAGTGAATCCACTGGACACCTTCTAGTTTTATCAAACACCTCAACACAATTCCGAGGATCGGAGCAAAATTGACGCTACACTGTGTTTATGATCAAATATCAGAACAAAGCTTTGCTTTATCGTCACTTTTATATTATTGTTAAATATATGTTTACAAAATAAACGTTTGTACAAATTGTCTGTAAATAAAACAGTTCGTATATAAAGATATTGACGAAAAATCAATGTTGTGTCCGGGGTGTATGCAACATGTTGTACGCGGGGTGTATACCCCTCTTTTTACTCTATAATATTATTGTCTGAAATGTCATTAAAAAAATTGTTAACAATTGATTTTTGTAAGAGTTCTATTTATTTTTTTAATTATTCAATAAAATTGATACACGTTCATCGTACTTTTGGCTGTGCATGCACATGGAAGTAAATGTACAGGGTACTTTGTTTAACTGTTTAATGTGATAACCAAGAATTCATTTCTTCTTCGATTTAAAGGCACCTTATGCAGATCCTTTCTTAATAAATTCTTCACACATGCATCATTTTGAAAATTTAACATTTACTCATAATTTCTGTTTAACTTTTTTTAATACTTTTTAAATGGGTTTGAAAATATTTAGCTTTTTGTAATGTCATACTTTCTAGGAATGGGCCCGAGGAAGGTGTATTTGTGGGGGGGGGGGGGGCGTAACTTTACTACGAGTATATACGATAATAAATTAGAGGAGGGTGAACATAATTGATATTATTTACACGTCAACGTAAAAATGTAATTGTACCAAAAACAGTTGTTTTTTTTTTCAATTGTGCCAGCCCTCGGAAAATTGTCGTCCCTTGTTACAAATGTGCATTTTCATAGCCGGCTTTACATGTTTATTGTGATTTGTAAAATATGAAATCTTTTCAGATAAGGAAAAATGAGTCCACATATTGCGGAAATTGAAAGGAAAATTAATATACATGTATCATACAGACACGTAGTATCACCCCCCTATTTGTTCCAGTCACAAGTTTTCACTACAGAAATGTTCGAGGAATCAAAAGTCAGGTTGCCCCCCCCCCCTTTTTTTTGTTGCAACATAGTCAAAAAATGGTTATGTAGTATGTTTAAGTAAAAAAAGGAGAATTGGTACTGAAAAAAGATGGGACCTACAACCCCCACCTGACACAGGAGTTTCGATACCCACCCCCCTTTTTTTATAGCTAGTCAACTTATGTCGTTTTTTTTTTCAGGTACCCCTTCAAAAAAGATTCTACATCACTGTCGTAAATGCTTAAGAATACATGTATTGATAAAATAAATGTTGCAGAAACAAAAAAGAAAAAGAATTTATTCATAATACACCATTTACGTAGTGTTTCTTTTATTTTTAACACGCGAAATATTTAGATTAAAACGAGCCAAAGAAAGGGCAAAGTGTCCTCAATGCAGGGATTGGGGAGGGGGGCGAGGGACCCTTTGGAGAGATTTTATGATTACATAGATTTAGATCATTGCACCATCTACAATATAGCATTTAGTCAGATAACAATCGCTCCTCGCACATCTATCACCTTTTATGTTTGAATATGATAGTTTTTTTAATTCTTTTTTAAATTTAGATTTGTTTTTTATTTCAGTAAGTTTATGGAAATTACTCTTTGGTTTGGCATCAGTATTAAGGTCTTTTATCAACACTATCTGTCGCTTTTAAGCTTGTGTGAATATAATATTTCCATTGATACTTTGCACTACACAATCCTAAGAAAAATATGGGGTATACACCCTGCGTACAACATGTTGCATACACCCCGGACACAACATTGATTTTTCGTCAATATCTTTATATACGAACTGTTTTATTTACAGACAATTTGTACAAACGTTTATTTTGTAAACATATATTTAACAATAATATAAAAGTGACGATAAAGCAAAGCTTTGTTCTGATATTTGATCATAAACACAGTGTAGCGTCAATCTTGTTCCGATCCTCGGAATTGTGTTGAGGTGTTTGATAAAACTAGAAGGTGTCCAGTGGATTCACAGGTATCCATATACTCCTTAGACAATGCTTCCTTCCGTAGGCATATGCTTACTGGCGAAAAATATCCGTAAGTTGAGAAAATGGACAAAAAACGTACATTGACCCCCTTTCTCTCGCTTCGGAAGTATACACCCCGCGCACAACATAGTATACACCCCGCATGTTGGGATATACACGGTGATTCATGCTAACAGTTTGTCTGCTTGATGTCAGGGAGTAAAGAAGAAGATTTTTTAAGATTGCAATAATTTTAGTAGGTTTGGCCCCACCCCTCAGGCCCCAGGGGGACGGGGACCATGAAATTCACAATATTTGTTCCCCTTCATCCATAGATGCTGCATACCAAATTTGGTAGAAAATGGTTCAGTGGTATCAGAGAAGAAGCTGAAAATGTTCAAATGTTAACACACAACAATGGACGAAAACAGATGGCAATCGGTCACCCGAGTTACTCAGGTGACCTTAGCTGCAATAATGTAGCCCTCTTCCTTTTTTTTTTTTTTTTTTTTTTTTGGGAGAGGGCTACAACTCCTTAGGATCTTCATAATGGTGCAGCTGCGGGAGTGATTTGCTGCTGCACGGATTTAGGCTCAAATTAACAGTAAATGGCTATTTTATTAACATTTCTTACCTTGACTCCAAATAAGTAGTCATCCAAGACGTAAACCAATTCAAAAATATACAGAACGATTCCTATATCGCTTATTTTTCGTGTATGTCAACATCACAACTCGAATTTATCCGCCATGTTTACTGACCTTGATCGATTGTATTTTGGGACAGCCAATGAGAATTTAGGTTCTATAGGAGCGGATCTTTTTGGAATTCCCTTATTTTAAACATAAATATCGCTGCTTTCATAAAAATAACACTTAAAATGGTTTTATATACCTATGTTTTTGTGATGAAGTTCAGCACATACATTTATAAACATCGATAATTGCTTTATTCAGTTGTTCTAAATTTCAAGGGAAAGTCTCATTACGTCACGCGTGAACTGTCATGGCTGCTGAAGTAAACTACCAGGAAACATGCAGAGTTATTTTACAAGTTTTTCGCATTTAACGGGGTCTACTGTTGACAGTGAATAAAAAATTCGTCTTATTAGAAGTAAGTTGAATGTAAAAATAATTTATTTTGCCTGCAGTCGCTCCTATTGAAAAAAATTTTTGCACCATTACGGAGATGCGATGGAATTGTAGCCCTCTCCAGAAAACATCAGATTAAAAAAAATTGGAGAGGGCTACATTATTGCAGCTAAGGTGACCTAAAAATTGTACAAGACATTAATTTTCAGTGGAATTTTCTTTCAGAAAGATTTTGATATATATGTTGAAAACTAATACTGACTCATTGTGCGACTTTTTGTCTGCTTTTCATAAAACTGAAACTTATTCCAAAATAGCTAAATATAGCAATATTTTATAGGTAAATAAAGCTATATAGGTAGATATACCTATATAGCTAAATATATTGATTTTCCTGGACCTGTTTATAGCATTTCATATATCCAGCAAGAGGCCAATGGGCCACATTGTTCACCTGAGTAACTTAGGAGATGCAGATCTTTTTGTTCTATATATATTTCTATGTAAAACTTGGATTCCCTATTGTGGCCCTGCCCTACCCCCGGGGTTCATGATTTTAACAAATTAATATCTACACTACCCAAGGATGCTTCCATATCAGTTTCAGCTTCCCTGGCCCAGTGTTTTCTAAGAAGATTTTTAAAGATTTGTTCTATATATTTCTATGTAAAACTTGGATTCCCTATTAAAGCCCCGCCCTACCCCCGGGGGTCATAATTTTAACAATTCAATATCTACACTACCTAAGGATGCTTCCACACAAGTTTCAGCTTTTCTGGCCCAGTGGTTCTTGAGGAGAAGATTTTTTAATGACCCCACCGTATTTTTGTATTTTCTTGATTATCTCCCGTTGGAAGGGGTCTTGGCCCTTGGTTTAAACCATTTAAATTTCCCTTCACCCAAGGATGATTTGCACCAAGTTTGATTAAAATTGGCCCAGTGGTTCTAGAGAAGAAGTTGAAAGTGTAAAAAGTTAACAGACAGACGGACAACGGTTGATCAGAAAAGCTCACCCGAGCTTTCAGCTCAGGTGAGCTAAAAATGAAAGTGGGCGACAGTGGGAGACAATTTTTAAAAGGAAAATTAGGAAAGAAACGTGCTTTTCTGCTGCTATTAAACTTAGAAACGTACCAAATGACGTCATATTTCCAGAAAGCCTCTCCTTTATTTCATATTCTTTAACGATTTATCATATTCATCTTCTCAACTATTGTTAATGCTAATTTCATAACTTTTTGAAAACAAAATTTTTAGGGGACAATAAAGCTTAAACTGTATCCCCTTGTGATAAAAGCAGGATTGAAGAACTTTGCAATGAAACATCTAGACGTGACCTGTAATATTGGCGACTTTAGTGTATGTCAACTGTAAACTGTAAGAGTAATAAATACCTCTTCCCTTGTCATCCCTCTTTCTGTCTTTCACAAGAAATAAAAGACCAAGATATTGGGGCCCTGAACTGTTGGTAGCATAAATGATAAGTAAAATTATAGGCATTTCTATCTTGGAATAAAGTGTAGAATGTTCTTACCTTTGAGGATTCTGTAAGGCGGACAGTTTCGCCGATGGCAGCTACATTAGAGCACAAATAATATTTTCCTTTTTGAAGGCTGTTTTCAAAGTGCTTCAGCTGTGGTAATGTAATTTGTTTGACGGATTTCTCAAGGTCTACATAGGCCATGGTTATTAGGAAAGATCCCCGGTCGTTTTTCCGCTTAATCTTTTCTGTCAAAATGTAGAGTTTTGTTCTTAGCATATTTCTGGCCATCATTCGTTTCACTGATCTGAGCGCGGGAATTAATCTGACGCTGCACGTGCGGCGGGAAAACCATTCGGGTCCTTTCGTCGGAGGTCGGTGAAACAACCTCTAACCTGGTCCACTGGCTCATCCTTACAGTGACGCGGAGTGTACGAAGCAAAATAGGGACAGGGAACCAGGCTAAACAACCTCGTGGTTTATCCGCTTGTCGGAAAGTACCGAAAAATTGTGAATTTTATAATATGTAGTCAGCTGAGGCCATCCGAATGTTTGGAGATGAAAAGATTACGGACAAATAATAATAATAAAAAAAAATAATAAAAAAAGATGAAGAAATGATACATTTTAGTGTCAAGCTTTATAACATAATAATTATGTAAAAATAATTTTAAATACCTTATATATAATTATCTGTAAGCGATATGAATGTGAATTTCATAAATTAAATGGTCATAATATGCAGTTTTTCTCTCATAACCTTTGACAATTGGATATTTAGGGCCTAGTGGAGAGTTTTTTTTTATTAAAACAATCTTTTCCATTAAACATTGTGAATTTTAGTGAATGCGTTTAAATGACGGTACTGTTAACAATAACTTAAAAAGATAAATTGGGAAAGATATATATACTTTTTAAATGAAATTCGTTATAAAAATATGTGAAAGAAATAAATTATTTATACCAAAGTAATTTTATAAAATACAATTTAAAGTGTGATTTTAAAATAACAGGATTAACACAAAAACGACGGGGGGTGTCTTTCCCTTTACTGTTTTTGACCATATCAAAAAAAAATATTTTACCCAAGGGGTGACACTGTTTATATACTGAAGTAACAAATGTGACAATTGACTATTGTCTTCATTAACATGCTATATATATGATTACAAACCCCTAAGTAAGTAAGTAAGTAAGTAAGTAAGTAAGTAAGTAAGTAAGTAAATTTTATTTAAAGCCATATATGGCGTATGTGCAATGAAAATTATTCAGTAGACTAAAATTATAAGAACTTATTATTTGTATCATTACTTTATATAAAGATAGAACTTTTCCGTAAATTACAAAATCTAAGTCAATTGCGTTATAAAGATATCACAATTTAAATTTGATTCTCAGAATTTTTTCCGTATCGGAAGAAAATACAAAAGATTTAAATAACACATAACAGAGAAGATAAAACTGTATTTTTAGATGAGACGAGGTGTTCTCCGTGATCAGAATTATATGAAAAGCTTTAATTTGAACGTATTAACTATATTTCTTTACTTAATTTTGTATTTTTCAAAAATATATTTTTTAGAACAGTTACGCCATATATGGCTTTAAAGTCGGCATTGTATACAATACATAACAAGAAACATGAGCTCTGTAGAGCTCTTAAACCGACTATCACAGTTAAAATATCACAAGAAAACATTTACAGCATAAATTAACATGCAAAAACACATGTACATATATACACATACAAATGACAGATAAAATGGCTTTAAAATCATTTGGGCATTATATATATTTATATTAAATCCCTTTTTTGAGAAAAAAATATCTTTCCAATTTATATTGATCAATTTTTTTTATCATATTTAACATTTATGTAATCTCACGTTCGTCTCGCGCTATGTGCATATCGTTCCGGGGCTGTAGATAGTCGGGCGTCGGGAAGTCTACTTTTACCCTTGCCCAATGTGACGTCATTGTCATTTCCAGTGTTTGCAGCTGCAGTAGACAGAGACTTGCAGGTTACACTTTATAGACAGCCAACTGACATCGTTTTTGGAAAGATTTCAAGAAAGTCTTCAAAGATCCTTAGAGATAAGATTGTTATTAATTCCAACTTGCTGCTCGAGCCTGATCAAAGAGATTTAAAGTAAGTACTTGGTGTAGGCATATATTGAAAATTTTCGTTCGTCAAATATGGCGACCAAGGGAATTACTGATGGATTAGTTCTTGTCTTCTTGATTTAAGAACTATTGCCACAAACGCATGGAAATTGATGTTGTCGACTCGTCAAATAATTGAATTAAAATATCATTATTTTGTTTTATTTAGGCCATTCCAATATTTTGTATTTGTGTAGCATCCACCCCAAATTTGAAAAGCTATCTTTCTAAGCTGAATAGACACACAAACCCACAGGGAAAAGGCAGATTTTATGTCCAGTTGTAAAATTTCTCAGTCATTTGAGAAATTTTCTGTCATTGTTATTAACTGATTAACTTAAACTATTATTTAGTTAATGGACATGTTGAAAAAAAAAATGGTATAACTGCACTCC